CCACTTTTACCTCCTAGTGTAGTTCTTGGTAGAGAACCAACCACAGAGTTCAACAGCCTCTGCTCTCAGGAGCAATAACTGCTCAGGGTTATAATCCTAACTAGATGATTATAAATCAGCATTTAGTCTATAATTTCAAGCCATATCAAGTTCATTCATAACACCAGGCGACACCCAACAGACTTCACAGTAAAATAAGACAAAACGAAAATGCCCCTTCCAAGGCCACATGTCACAGGCACTGAACTAAAATCACAAGGTATCACTTAGAAGCCGAATTTCCATTCCGCCAAGCAACAAATACAAAATGCTAGACAAATTAACCGACATGAAAAGGTAAATGAAGCAAGGGAAAAGCATAAATGCTTTTAATTTTTTCTTCATAGTAATTCTTCATTAATTTTGCAGAAATTGTACATTTTACTGGAGTAAATAAACGTCACTGTTGCACTGTAGCAATGACCCCTTTATTGCGGTACTTTTCAGGCTGTCAAACGTTCATTGAAATACCTACTGGTACAAGGGAATTGACAAATTTGGTAACTTACCTGTTCGTTTGTACAATCAGAGTGATTCATTGCAGAACAATGACACGTTTGGTTACATTGGAGCACTTTATTGGTCCTATATTTTTCAGATGATCACAGATTAAGGCTAGTAATTCACTTGTGCATTGCAATTAAGTCATTTAAGCACTACAGAATTCTGTTTTACAATGTTTACTCAAAAAGTGAATCATAAATCTATTAATGATAGCAACGTTACAAATATGAGGGTATCATAAGTTTAACATTATTCTAACTCTAGGACTATCAGTATTCATAAACTTCAAAAGGTTGGATTTAAGGAGCATGGGATATTTTCTAATTTTAATCTTCAACTTAAAGTAAATAACTATGGTAAATATACCGTACAATTCAATTTAAATATTAAATTTCACATTTTAAATTTAACTGTTTACCAACTTAAAAATTCCCTCTACCAGGATGCTTGCACTTAGCCCAATGAATTCCATTAATGTGGCAGATACAGGATCTAAGTGTGTATATACCTCATTTTATTTAAATTATAATAACTATGTATTTATCTATTACAAATTTGACTCAACATTGCATTTGCATTTGAAGACCTGTTTTGAGAAGTTTCAGCACATTTCAATGGTCAAAACAAAGACAAAATTTCCCCTCATCTTTGTTCTGAAAAGTTTTACCCCCTCTTTTTAATCTAAGGAGTCGTGGTCGAAGAAGGCCTATCCATCCAAGGGAGATGATGGGAATACTGTAGGTGAACTCGTCTGGGCCTTTCGCCAACTTGGACCATACTGATTTGGCGCTTGCCAGTCAAAGCTGGCAAAGGGCCAAGTTGACTTAAAACCATCAGATGGTGCTTGCCACCTTCCCCACTCAGCTTGCACCAACTATTTTCTAGCTATCATAATATTCTCTCGTCATCCCCTGGTTTTTGGATAATGAAGAATTATACAACAAACACGATTGTTATTGTTGCATACATTCACAGGAACTTGCCTACCACCAGACTCAATAACAACTTCAGTTTTTAGGAAAATCGTTTCCTAGATAGGTTTAAATAATGTAATAATAGAAATAATCAGATATTACAGTAATAACTAGTTCCTGGATTACGGAAACTATGGACAGGAATTTTTACAATGAACAGGCCATTAAAAACGAGTTGCAATTACTGTACTCATTTTGTCTGCCGCTCTAGGCCATGATGTAGGCTCATTCAACCAGGACGAAGACCATTTATCAACGTAACAAACACTGCATCATGTTGCATAATAATTAGCACACAATCACAGTCATGACGATCCACTTAAGCTGCAATAGTACACCAAGTTTTAAAACAATTGTATCAAGTATGTTCAACTTTTAGTTTAAAAATAAAAAATAATAACAGAAATATGACTAACTTGAGGAATTAATCGAAATGAACCGCTTCAATTCAAGCACGAACTCAACGGAAACAGCTGGATGACTACCAGGACCAGACCACAACACAACGCTTCACAGTTTCACGGTAAACAGACAAGATTATACACCTGCCTCTCTGTGGTTGTGGTGGAAGCGGCAATTGTTTGAATAGCGCCCCCATTTGTTAAAAAGTGTCAAACTGTCAGAACGTGCACAAAAAAATAATTTGCTAAAATTTTACATTCCATAACGGATAAAAACGGGCGATGAAAATGTATGAATGAATAGTATGAATTTGATGAGTATACATTTATAGGCCTTGTACTGTTCTGTAAGATTATTAGTAATCCATGGAATGAACCCTTACAAGAAAATAAACTCGCGAATCAAACTACAACTCATCCATCAATCAATAAATCGATGGAACAAAAGATCGATCGATTAATCAATTAATCACTGATGAATATATTAATCAATAAAATTATATAAGGTCATTATACATCTAAAATTACGATGTTTAAAGTACTGTAAATGCCATTCAGTAGATTATTCAGTCTAGTCTCTTAAACGAACGCAAGTGATTAATCATCGAACAATCCATCGATCAGTCAATAAATCGATGGAACAAAAGATCGACCAATTAATCAATTAATCTCTGATCAATATATCAATCAATAAAATTATATAGCGTCATTATTCATCGAAAATTACGACTGTCAAAATAAATACCATTTAGTAGATTACGAAGTCCATTCTCTTAAATGAGTGCAGTGATTGATCGATCCATTCAACAATGCATGGATAGATCAATAAATCGATGGAACAGAAAATCGAACAATTAATCACTGATCAATATATTAATCAATAAAATTATAGCATCAATATAAATCGACAATTGCGAAGGTCAAATTAAATGCCATACAGTAGACTCAATTACTGTTGAGTCTAGTCTCTTAAACGAACGCAAGTGATCGATCGATCAATAAGTATTCACTTTTTGTTTTGGAAGATTTAGGCCTTGTTACAACCAGTTGGCCTATGTGATTGCCTAATTTACATTACTAAACTAGACTAAAGGAAAAAGTCCTACACACAATTGAGTTTCAATCAAGACACACAAACGGGGTCAATTCGATGTTTTTTTTCGTATTATGCATCTCTTCACCAAGCCCCACCCCTTGGAAATTGTTGCTATGGTCCCAAAAAGATAGCGTAAATGTGCGTTTGTGGACCACATGTGTGTCTTAAGCACAAAATCTCAGCGATGTTCTGATTGGTCAGTTGTTAAGTTTGACTGACACTTCGGAAAGGTCCATACTGCAGATCGAAGAAGGAAAAACGTACCTAAAAATTGTTAAATTATTAATTAACTGATCCAACTATATAAGAAGCCTCTAAATCATCTCTTTAAGGAATCGTCTAGATAAGAAAGTGATAGGCTTTACTTATTTTTGAAACGATCGAGGGGGAATTCAGGCCATTTGCCTATTTAAATTCAATAGTATATTTTGCACTTCCTAACATGGGAAAAATCGTGAATTGGTTAAACATTTCAAAAACAGAACACTCAGAATACCAGACAATACATATCTAAATAGAGGCTGATGACTGAATAAATTAACTAATAATTTTTAACTGTTAACTACATCTTTTATAGATCTAAATAAAGTGTAATGTTTTGTTTTTATCCATCGATGTTGGGATGGATCATTTTGAGCTGAAATGTTAGATAGAAGCATAAATTATTGGTGAATGAACAAATATGTACCAATGAAAATAAACTATAAATGTCACATAAATTATGATTAAAGAAATAAACACACAGAAATGACATTCAAAGTATTTTTTTTTTTTCCAATAATGAGCATGAGCATCAAATATCAAATAAATAATTATAAATAAAGAGTTAAATTCAACATCATCTTGCAGTAATAACTATATACAAAAACTGAAGAGCAAGTTTCATTCAAAGTGTAATATTCTGTTTTTATCCACCTATACTGGGGGGGGGGGGCAGTCATGATCAGCTCATTTTCAGCTGGAAGGTTTGCAAGCGTAAATTAATAGTGAATGAATAGATGATATAAACAAATTAAAATAAAACTAAAAAAGCCACACTAATTATGATTAAAGAAATAAAGACACAGAAATAACATTCAAAGTTTTATTCAAAGTGTAATACTGTATTCTGTTTTTATACACCTATGTGGGGGGGGGGGGCAGTCATGATCAACTCATTTTCAGCTGGAAGGTTTACAAGCATAAATTATTAGTGAGTGAATAGATGATATAAACAAATTAAAATAAAACTAAAAAAGCCACACTAATTATGATTAAAGAAATAAAGACACAGAAATAACATTCAAAGTTTTTTTTTTTTTACAAGAATGAGCTTGAGCATCAAATATCAAATAAATAATTATAAATAAAAGTTAAATTCAACATCATCTTGCAGTAATAACTATATACAAAAACTGAAAAGCATGACAGTATCCTATAATTGATCTTTATCATATGTGGTACATGCAGAACTAGTGCTGTTTAATTCATAAAAAGAGTGTAAAATCAGTTTCCTCCAACAGGATATGAATTCTTTACAAAACTCTGATGGCTATATCTAATTACATTACATTTAACATTTCTCAGGATAATGAATAGACAGAGGAATGATGGATAGATGGATAGATATCTGGTTCTGTAGATCCAGGGGTCCCTTGAGTCGTGGAGTTTTTCGGAAATTGGGACAGCCCCACGCCCTCCGGCGAACAACGAAAATCATCCCAGAAACTAACCCATTCCCTGCAAATTCATTATATTTATATGTTTCCACTATAGTATTATAAATTGTCTCCTTGAAGTCAGCTGGTAAATAGTATCACCATTATCACCAAAATAAGATTAGATGAGCACATTTTACCAGCTCTTCCGGATGTGGTTTCTTGCAACTTGAAACACCTATAGATCACTTAATTATTAAGTAATACCAATATGTACCAATTTTTATTTCACTTGTTTACACTCCAATTCTATTTTTTTTTTAAAGAAGGGAAAAAACTGATATCTCACCTCTTCTTGTTGCGTCATGATATTAAGGCAATGGGTCATTGAACTGTACATCTCCTTAGAGCTGTACACCAGCTGTTGTAGTAGCTGTCTGATCTCTGCTGCCAAAGGAAGGCCTAGCAAAGAATTGTTGAAAGACATGTTAAAGGAACACTCTCAAGTTCCCTGATCTGAACTGCTAAAGGGAGGCATAGCAAAGAATTATAGAGACATGTCTGAAATGATAGTTTCAAGCAGCCTAATCTTTCTTGTTAAAGGAAGGCCTAACATAGAATTAAACAGCATAGCAAAGGATTATTGAGAAATCCTTATTAAAGGGACAGCCTCAAGCTTCCTGATAACTGTGGCTAAAACAAGGCCTAGCAAAAAATTATTGAGACTTGTTAAAGGAACAGTCTTTAGCTCCACGATTTCAACTACTAAAGAAATGGCTGGCAAAGAATTATAGATACGTTAAAGGGACAGCCTCAAGCTCCCTGATCTCTCCAGCTAAAAGGCCTAGCAAAAAATCAGAGATGTTAAAGAAACAGCATCAATCTCTCTGATCTCTGTGGCTAAAGAATGCCTAGCAAAGAATTATAGAGATGTTAAAAGGACAGCCTCAAGCTCCCTGATCACTGCGGCTAAAAGAAGGCCTAGCCAAGAATTATAGAGATGTTAAAGGGACAGACTCAAGCGTTCTGAGCTCTGCTAAATGAATAACTAGCAAGCTAGAGTCGTACACTACAACTGAATATGTACTTACTACTTTGATACTTGGAGGTACTCTTTAAACTATGTGATTTCTGCTGTGCAGCTGCTATATTCTGCTGGTCCAAAAACTTCTGCAGGCCTTCAACTTGCTGCTCTAATAAATTCTGATGCGCATTGGCAACCTGGAAAACAAGTTTCATGAAAATACTATATGAAGTCAACCACACTTATTCTAATAAAAGATTGCAAGCAAAATTGTTGACACAGATGTTGTATGCATTAGTGATCTCTAAAAAAGACCGCAGAATAACTGAAAAACCAGCTACACTCATCAACAAATTGTATTATAATTTTTAGCAGTTTGAGGCAAGAATACTCCTAACCAATGTTAAAACAAAAAAATTTCACATGACTCATTCATGTTTGTGTGAGTACCTCGGGTCATGGGTCATATATTCGTTAGCATGTGTGTTTAATACAATAAACACCTGATAAACACATTTTCTTAATGTTTGTACATCCAACTCATATTTACGGATACAGATGATCTGTTTTGAACATATACTAGAGATTAACATACAATTCAATCGCTCGATCAGAAGATGAATAACAACAATAAAACAAATAGGTTAAGGGTTATAATAACAACAAATAATAAGTAGTAAGATATATCCACTGCATATTGTACTTAAGGGGTAGAACCTCCAAAATATATAAACTAGAACTGGACAAGCAAAAAAAATCTCAGCAACTTTTACTAGCCATTTAAAGCATAATATCTGGCCAGCACATACACCACACAATGCCTATAGTGGTGCCAGTATTCAGTAATGTTCATAAGAAATTATGCAGGTCCATAACTGGAGTTTGGTTTCCTTGAAATCGCTACAATGTCACTAGAGTGTTTTTAGTGCAATCGTTGTACTGCGTACCAGCCCCCGATGCAATTAGGAAGGCTCCCCGATTCGACCAACCAATCAGCATCACCGAAAGCTGTCTACTTACTTGGTTTACTTGGTTGTAGAGATGAAAGCAAGGCTTATTTGCCTATTCCTCAGTAGTTGATTGGTCGGGTCAGATAAAAGGTTGGTACAAACTAAAGTGAATGATATGAGCTTTTGCAAGAGCGAATTTGAATTGGTTGATAGGATCAACCCTAACAGCATTATCTGGCAATGCATTTCATTCATTAAAGTGCTGCTTACAAATTTTCAGTGAATGGCCACATGTTTTCGAAGCAATATTCAATTGAAAAAAAACATTCGACAGGCAAATACTCCATTCCTTTCAAAATGTTGAAAATCTGAATGCGATCCGCACTTAACCTCTCTGAATAATCAAGATCACTTAGGTTGGCGACAGCGTGTTGTATGGAAACCAAGATTAAGGGATCGTGATTCGGCCAATCCAATTTTCTCCCCCTCCGATAAACTGTACCCCATGCATTAAATACCCATTACCTAATTTTTATGCTACAACGCTTTAGCTTGCAGCCTTTGCCTAATGACCACCAACAGAGCTTTTCCCCAGGCACCACCAGGAAACCTAAGCACCAGTTGACCATCTCCCGTTATCCTTCTTCACTATTGGTCAACACCGTGTTAATGCCCTCATCTAATCTCTCTCATGTCTTTCCTTTTTTATTTGGTGGGCTAATAAAAAAACAATAAGAATATTAACATTATTTTTCCTTTAGTTACCTGTAGTACATCTTGTATACAACCCAATGGTTTTAAGTCTTCCATGTCCTCATCATCCAATGGCTCTGACTTGGTATAGTGGTTACTGTATTCACAATGTTCATACAATATGTTCAACCATTTCTATTAAACAAAGCAATAAACATAAGTTCAATTCAAATCAATTAGCAACAAACAATATTAATATCTGAAAATATATTATATTTTGGGAAACAAATTGGTATTCCAAACTGGTATTCATTCATTCGTAAACTACTGACAAAAAATATAAGAATTTTGGTAGCAAAACAAATTTTAAAATATCAATCTGTGACTTACTGAAGGTTAATAACTTATGCAGTTATTATAAATGAGCATTTCAAATTTCATTAAAATTATTTTTTGAGGTTTTTTGGGTGGCAGGTGTTTCATTATACCTCACCTCAACTACGCACCACAGGTGTGTAAAGTTTAGTCCATGATAAACATGATTTAAGTTGAACTCACCTGACATGAAATGAAGGACTGGTCATCATGGACCATGCTCCACAGGTGTGTAGAGTTTAGTCTATGATAGACCTGATTTAAGTTAAACTCATTGGACATGAAATGAAGGAATGATCATCACAAACTACGCACCACAGGTGTGTACAGTGTAGTCCATGATAAACCTGATTTAAGTTAACCTCACCTGACGTGAAATGAAAGACTGGTCATCACGGACCACGCTCCAAAGGTGTGTAGAGCGGTCGGCATACTGTACTGCAAAGCTTGTTGAATCATTACATATCTAGCAAGTTAAAAAAACATGTTTTTAACAATTATAAAAATAAAAGTAATAGGAAAACCAGTCAATCTATCACACTGAAAGTACAAAGGTTCTACTCTAACCAACTGGAACTTGGAAGTCCCATAAAAAAAAACAGAAGCAGCTGAACTAAAAGGTATACAGTTATACTTTAAATAGCCAGAATGGCCTGGCAATGTTAAATGGACCCTACCTGTATTAAATGTTATTCATTTTAGTAATGTTTGTACGTTAAATGGACCCAAACGGAAATAATTTGAAATATATCACAGCTTTTTTTTTTTACTATCAATGTAAATTCTTTCATTTTATGCATTTCTTGTCCATCTGTTGTGTTTTTTGTAATTGTCAAAATATTAACTTTATAAACAATTAATAAGAATTTGTGATGCATTTGCAAACATTGTGTATAATTCTGCAGAGAGTTGTTCAAGACACTAACAGTGAATGTCACAAGACAAACATGTAGATATTCTATGTAGAACAAGTTGAGAAACGAGAAAAAAAACCTCTTACCATAAAAGAAATTGAGCCCAACAAGACCATGGGACTGGAAAGCAAGCACCTTAACCACCAAGCAATTCAACTCTACTAAAACTTTCTTGTCTACATTTGAGTTTGTAAAGCAATGGTATCAAAATTCTACCCCGCTTTTGACAAATTTAATAATAATCCAATAATACAAAAGAGCACATATAGGACTTTATATTATTTAATTTCCCAATAAAAGTTAATCTTGATTCATTACCTTAAACTTGGCTTGATTTAAATACTTATATCCTTGTCGTTTCACCCCTGACACCGCATCAGCCCTTTAAAGAATTATCAATACAATCATTTTTGATTTTCAAATGGTTACCAGGAAACTTAGAACACTTAATAACAATATATTTAATTGTTCATTTATAAGCATTGATATGCATAGAATCAAATATTGGTCTCCTTCAAAATAAAGACCCCTCCAATTAAACACCACTTTTCTGTGGTCCCAAATTACCAAACATCTTTTATCTTTATTCTATTTAGAGACCAAAGCTGCTAAAACCATGGAAACCCCGGTCCCAAAAAATTGTCTTTCTGGAGGGCGACATTATTTTCTACATGATATTGCTGTTGTGACCAATCCAGTATCAGACAATGATTTTGCACACGTATGCAAAATCATTTCCAATTCTAGGACTTTTACAATTGAATCTGTGGCAGCTTACAGTAAGACTCGAGAGAAAAACATTATTTTTTTATATGTTGTAGAACTGATTTTTTTAAGACAGAAAAAAGTTGTTTGACGAAAAACTGGGGAATGGTGAATGAGGTACAGATTCTAAAAACTGGAGGAAAAAGGTATAAAAAAAAAGAGCAGTTACGCCCCTTTTTCCCCCAGTTTTCAAATATTTTAAAATCTGTATCTCAATTCACCGTTCCCCAATTTTTTTGTCAAAAAAACTTTTTTGTCTTTTTCTGTCAACATATCAAAAATTGTTTTAAATCATAATTAACATGTTATCATTGCATTTTCTCTTCATTTATATGATTGATTGATCTCAGTATTTACTATACCTCCTTTTAAAGTAGCTTATAACTCCCTTGTCAACAACGACCCAGTGAAACTTCCAACCACCAAGAAACTTTGCTTTCTGAAATAATAAAAAACCAATAGGTATTATATCAGGGATGCCGCATGTCGTGGAAGTCTCTTGGAAATAGGGACGGTCTCCCACGCAATAGGGACAATAATCTCAAAAAAATATAACCAAATCTGCATGTTTTGGATACTGTATTACCACTTTATTATCATTTGTCTCCCAGATTTCATCGTCGATTGGTATCACCATAAGCAGACAAACAAAATTAGACGCGTGCTAAGATACTTTGTTTAAACAGATTTCCCGGAAATGACTTCTTCCAAATTGGGATCCCTGTTATTACAGGTCTTCCAAAAATGAAACAACTAGTACTATCAGAGGTTATAGAGTTTGTGTAAACATTTGTAAACAAAATCTGGACTACTATTAACACATGTATTGAAAAAACATAAATCATAAATTTTGTTTGCAAGTCAAATTAAAGGGCTATGCCTACAATTAAGCATGGTATTAAGTAATGTGTAATTTGTAGAGGGAAAATATTTTCAGTCCATCACACTTCCTTCTCTTTTCCTATAGATCAGAGCTCATTTAATGATGGTTGACTCCTAATCCAAAATTTAAATGTTGTGTTTCTCACCAACACTTTCCATAAGTATTTTAAAAAAATATTTTGCTTTTGATTTTAAATGTAATATTAAGTTGAAAAAATTGATCATTAAAAAAAATATATACTTACCTTCATCAACTGGCCTTCAAACATATCCACACTTTTCTGTATTGTCTACAAAATAAGATTGTTAACCAGAGAAATGAAGTGAAATCTCAATAACCAAATCAATGAATGAATGAATCAATCAATCAATCATTCAACCTATCAATCCATTCGCAAAATTTCATTCGACAATAGTTGTGTTTCTCCATAACAAAGTTTATGAATGGTATCCTATTTTAACTAATTTAACATGCGAGAACATGATCGAGAATGGCAATTTGTCGCTTAACTATGTTAATAACTTATGCAGTATAATGGATTTCCACAGTTTGCTAACTGTACAAGGCTCTCCTTGCAAAAAAATTGCAAATTGTACAAGACTGTAAAATAACTTGATTGGTAATCTGCGCTTTTTAACAAAAGGTAAATAAGATGACAAAGTTAAGTCCCTAATATAAAATCTGAATAGAAAGTTTATCTCTAAACTGGCTTAACACGACAATAAAATGGCAATATACATCCCTAAGTTGTGAAATAAAAATATAAATGGGAATTTGTACCTTACCTTAACAGGTTTAACATCAAGAAGCTGCTTCATTTTAGCAGTCTGCGCAAGATCCAAGGCAGTCTGTCCACGGCTATTCTTCATATTGGAGTCAATACCACACTGCAGTAATAAGACGGCAGCTTCTTTGTGATCGCGGTAACTAGCGCAGTGCAAGGGAGTGTTTCCATTAGCATCAGAACAGTTTATGTTGGGTGGATTAATACTCAACACCTATGAATACAAAAATACTTCCACATTCAAAAACTTATTGCTTCATAACAATTAACCACAAAATATATACAGTGTAATAACCATTCTATTATTCTCTTGTGACCTACTTAACATAAAGCTGGGCGGTTAGGTCACTTAATCTTTCATCATGTCTAAAATCACAAAGGAACTTACAACACATTGCAGGCATGTGGAAACACCAAGAATATTTGAGGTAAAAAATAAAAAGAGTAATAAAACACGCATGAATGAGTATCAAAAAACAGCTTAAAATAGGCCGGTATCTTAACCATGACATCCTTTAATCTAACTATATTTAAAATCAGACTTCATTTACTTCAAAGTATTCACTTGATCAAATATCAGAATGTCACTCAAAACCTATTACACAGTCCGTCTCCCACTTGTCTAATTCTTCACGTTCCAAAATTTATAACACATACATTTAATAGCTGTCCGTTCCGAATTGCCTCTTTGCTAAGGAATAACTAGACTTGCCACAAGTCCCTTATTATTATTTTTTCTCATTCTGGACAGCTCCACCAATGAGCAAGTTAATTTTGAGACGGAATAAGGAATCCGAAATCCCTAATCAAAAAAAAAAAAAGAAATTGAGTGTGGGACGCCAAATAAATTAGGTATGGCATGCATTAAGCGCAATAAAGAGTGAGTAACCCAACATTAGGACCTGGAACCCAGGCTAAGGAATAACCTACCTAAATCATTATAATACCCAGTAAACTCAAATAACTTAAATTCTCATTTTAAATTTTTTTTTTTTTAATTTGTTCTTACTTTATTTACCAGCTGCTCTTATAGATGTATTTTTAGGGAACCAATTTCATCACCTGATTAACAATAACTCTAAAATCAGGAAAACTCAAAAATTAAAATAAGACATTAAATTACTCCTTTAAAAGAAAATCAAGAGACATACTTGTCTGTGTTTAGGGATAAAGCAAGGACACAAGTACTTACAAGCTGTTTGAGGCCTTCAATATCACCCTCCCTTGCAGCTGCCAGTAGTTGTTTCTCTGCCTTCAGTTTGAAAGACTGCTGTGCAGCTAGTTAGGGAAAAACATCAAAATCTAGAAGATATCAATTCTGGCTGAAACATCTTTATATTGTATTATATTTATTAATACTTAATTGTAATTCTTAAAGCTTGTTTTATATTTGACCAACTTCTTGGAGAAATACAATGTCTTGTTTAGGTTTTTTGTTGCACCACATTCAATATACAGGCATTTCCAGGCATCTAGAGGTGCTTACTCTTAAAATTTATTCACTTCAGCCCAAACCACGATGAGGGCTAAGTGGGTGTGTTTTCACTGTTAGGGAACCTTGCACCTCTCGGCAGGTAGCCTGTGGCACCGTTAGGATCTTCCCGCCATTAGTAATCCTTCTCAAAAGTACCAGAGTTACTTTATTTATATTTTTAATTCTCCCTCCATAACTGCTGTCACTCATTATGCTCTGTCTACACTATCATGCTCATATATAGACATTATGTGGCTATATATGGTCATGGTGTGATGTCATCATAACCATTTAGGCATGTCACATGTTTTTGTTAAATAAAATTTGATAGTCTACACAGGACTTAAAACTGAATCTGTGAAATCCCATCGCACAAAGTACATTGTTGATCTGATTTTTGTTACATTTTTGATATTCTGTGGATAATAGTGATACTATAGCCTGCGATGGTACAAAGCAAACAAAAATTCAATTCAACCAGAAAACACATTCCAATGTAAATAATTCAGTAAAACTCAGAATGAACTAAGGAAATAAGGTACGAATAAGGGAAGTGTCAAAGGGCAAAACATAGAGTTCGGCAGGATATTATAAAGCAACTTAGGCAGATATCTTAATAAAATGCAACAAATTAAACACTAGCATGCAACTATCTTTCTTGATTCAATTTCTCTGCCTTAAAGATGTACTATTATTCAAAAATTCAAAATGAAAAATTTGAATAGGTCATTTGAAAAATTTAATAAATTATTAGCTTCCAACAAGAGACAGATAGAAATAAAAAAGTAGTTTTCACCCATTTACAGACATTTTACGGCAAAAATCCTTAAATTTATTACCAACCAATTTAAGGGACGCAAATAAATGCAGGAAAGTTATTAGTAAACTGTCCGAAAATTGACAAGGGAATTTTTTTCTAATGTATAATTTTAATCTTAAATTTATAACTTACTTCAATATACAAATTAAGTAATTCAAATGTGGAATTAAAATTTTCTGGACTGATAGTACATCTTTAAAATTATAATATATATTAAACAAAATAAAAATTGATTGACACGTCAGGCAGAGTGGAACCAGCACAGACACTAACAGGTGTCCCAAATTGGAATTAATCCATTCCCCGACAACTTGTTAAATGAGTTTTCTTAATATTTTTCATTTTCTTTGCTGCAGATGGTAATACCTATCAGCACTTTCATCCAAAGAAAATTTATAATAAATTTGTAAAATCATGCAAATATTATGCAATGAGCATCTCTTTAGACAGATACCGGCGGAAAACCAATTTTTATTACAATATTATTGTTATTTGCGGGAGATGGTTATCTTCCGGGAGATTCTTGTTTGCTTGCAGGAGTGTGGGAGACCGCCCCGATTTTCAGGAGAATCCCGCAACTTCCGAAAGACTTGGGAATCGCTAGACCTAATCGCAGGACTTACCTTCTAACATGTTGGCAATGTCTTCTCCGTAGGCAACCTGTTTGGCTGTCAGACCTTCACCATTTACAATACCAACATCAGCACCATGC